CCGCCCTCTCCCCGCCATGCCTTCTCAGCTCTGTGCTCTTCTGCAGCCCCAAGCGGGAAGAAGCAGGCGGCCAAGTCGAAGGAGGAGTTAGCTCAGGAAAAGAAGAAGGAGTTAGAGAGGCGGCTGCAGGATGTCAGCGGACAGCTGAACAACAAGAAGCCTGCCAAGAAAGGTACCTGTGCGTGGGCCACGCTGCTGCCGAGGCCGCTGCTGCTGCTGGCGAGGGGGGAGGGTCGGCGGTAGGGCGGTGGCCGGCGGACCCAGGCTTCGGTCCGCGGCGCCATCGGCTCAGGGGCAGCGTGTCCTTAGGTGAAGCTCTCGATCTCTTGAACCCCCAAGTCCCTTGCCTGTAAACAGGGGACCCTGGTCCTGCAGGGAGGTTGAGCAGATGGGAGGCATGGGTGGAAGCGCCCCAGGCCAGAACCCCCGGAGAGGACTCTGTGGAAGGGCCTCACTGTGGTCTTTGGGGGTAGACCCCGTGGCTTGAGAGGGACTGGGGTCCCGGCCCCTGGCAGCGGGCTTCCTTCCCGGCTGCCCCTGGCCAGGCCCTGTGCTTTGTGGACCGCGGAGCCTTATTTTAGGTGAGCAGGTGATTTGACTCGTTGTCTCTTTCCTCTGGAGCCTGTAAGAAAGGGCAAATAATTTTCTCCCGGCCCCAGGGATGGTGGCGCCCAGGGGGTGATCAGAGTCGGGGTCCCATCTGCACGATAGTGTGGCGGCTGGCTGCCGCCGCCTTGCCGAGTCCTGCTCGCCCTGCCTGCTCCCTCTGAAGCCTGGGAGGGTCCCCTGGATCGCCCCTGGGAAGGGCAGAGTAGGCGGCACGTGACTGGTGGATATCTTTATACTGCTGACCTCCCCCCACGCCCCGTCAGATTCCTAGCAGATCGCACCTGTGTTTTCTAGACTCAAGTATATTTAGTTTTGTTGACCTCTGAGCTAGTTTTACTCCCACTTCTGACACCAAGTGTGTGGGCTTCTGCTCACACTGACTCTGCAGTGCCACCTGTGGGTGGGGTCCAGCCATCCAGTTCGGTCCTGACGCTATTTACGTAGGGTTCGCTGAGACCCCAGTGGTGGGGGGTCCACCCCCAAAGACCGCCCTTCTCTTAGATGCCAGGTGCAAGTCCTGGGCCTGCCATACCACCAAGCTGTCAACTGGGGTTCCCGTGACCCTCTGCTCGGATTTGATAATTTGCTAGGATGGCTCGCAGAACTCAGGAAAGTGCTTTATTTACTGTGTCGTTTATCGTAAAGGGCACAACTCAGGAGCAGCCGAAGGGGAGGGGTGCACAGGGCGAGGCGTGGCAGGGGTGAGGGCGTGGAGCTTCCCTCCCCTCGCTGGGCACGCCACCCTCCCCGCCCCTCCGCCCGTCCGCCAACCTGGAAGCTCTGGGGAGCGAGAACATTTTAGCGCTCCACCTCCCCTGCCCTCCCTTCCCCGGAGTTAGGGGCCAGGGGGTGAAAGTTCCCAGCCCCCTCCACATGGTTTTCCTGGGGACCAGCTGTACCCTGAGTCGCTCATGAGCATAAACTCGGGTGTGATGTAAAGGGGGCTCCGTGCAAATAACCAAAGACGTCCCCGTCCGGGGATTCCAAGGGCTTTAGGAGCTCTGTGCCCAGAACCCGGACAGAGGCCGAGCGCATCTCTTACCGTACCATGATCTCATTAACGCGGTCATTCTTTTCAACAAACATTCGTTAATATTGCCCGAGCTTCGGGGTGAAGAAATGGATGGGTCGAGGCACGGGATGTGGCGGTGTGACGCCGGTGGACGTTCCGGAAGGGCTCGCCTGGTGGGTGCAGGGGTGCGTGGGGGTGCACGGGGGAGCGCCTCTCACCTGTCGCGTCTCCCTCAGAGAAAGCGGGCTCTGCGCCCTCGGGAGGGCCGTCCCGGCTCAGCAGCAGCAGCTCGTCCGCGTCCGGGAGCAGCAGTTCCAGCGGATCCAGCTCCGACAGCAGCGACTCGGAATGAGCTCTGGACTCACAGAACGGCACAAAACCAGCGACGTCGCACACGCCCCAACTCTGCAGTGTTCCCTTCTATGGTTAATATACTACTTTCGTTCCATGGTGTGCGGGCTTTCTTCTTAACTCAGTGTTATGGTAGCTTCCAGTTTTTGCTTTAATAGGTCAGAGATCTTTCTCGTGGGTACGTGAGGCTTTATGAGACGGTGCGACTCTGCATAAAGTCTTTGTAACTGAACTCGGTTGCTTCGAGATGGTAACTTCGAACGCTGACCTGACAGCCGTAGAAAAAACATGCCAGATGCGGTCTGAGGTTTCTTGCGAAACGCCTCTCTTACGCCCCACCTGGTCTCTAGCTCCGGAACGCATTGTTGCAAAGGAAGTTTCTCTGGATGGTACTGTATGGAAAGCGGTCAGCTTGGCAAACAGGTGCTGTCTTTGTCCTTTGGGCCCCGAGCTCAGCCTCGCGGCTGGGGTCGCCTCTTTCTGGGGGCGCGGAGAACAGCCAGCCTGGCGCGGGCTTCGGGGGCCCCGTCCAGCTCCAGGCAGGGCTTCTGCAGGGGCGGGGAGAGAAGCAGGCGGGCGCGGAGAGGAGGGGTGTCCGGGGCTCCCGGACGGGAACACGGGGGCTGCGTGTGCAGCTCGTAGGTTTCCATACACTGAAACTTTTACCTCAACTTAAGAA